GCGGGCGGAGCTCCTCCAGGCTGTCTCCTCCCGCTTCCCAGAGTAAGCGAAGCACAGTAGCAGCAGCAACTGCAGCAGCAGCAGCAGCAGCAGCAGCAGAAGCAGCAGCAGGAGCAGCAGGAACAGAAAGGCAGCAGCAGCAGCAGCAGCACGAGCACCAGTAGCAGCTACAGTAGAAGCTGTCTAGCAGCATGCCTCAGAGCAGGGGAGACACAAAAGCAGCAGAGTCAGCAGCAGCTGCAGCAGCAACAGCAGCAGCAGCAGCAGCAGCAGCAGAATTAGTTTAGGGAGCTGCAGCAGTTTCAACCGTATGCTGCAGTGTTTGCTTCTGTTGCTGCTGCTGCTCTGCTGCTGCTGCTGTTTTCAGGCTCAAAGATGCAGCAGCAAGTATCCGTGTTCGGTGTATTGCTGTTGTTCCCTCTCCTACCCATGACAGCAGCAGCAGCAGCAGCAGCAGCAGCAGCAGCAGCAGCAGCAGCAGCAGNAGCGCTGCCGCTTACGCGGGGGCTGCTGCAGTGTCTCACCTTAGACCCTTGGGAGTTGCTGCAGCAGGGTAAGCAGCTGCTGCTGCTGCTGCGGCAGCGGCCTATGCTGCTGCAGCAGCAGCAGCTGTTGCTGTCCGGCTGGGCTAGGATGTGGGAGCAGGCGCTTGCTGCTGCCGCTGCTGCTGCTGCAGCACGGGCAAGGAAGTCCCTGAGCGATCGCCTTGCAGCAGAAGTGCAGCAGCAGCAGCAGCAGCAACAGCAACAGTTGCTGCTGCTGCAGCAGCAGCAACAACTGGGCTCAGACGATTGCCTTCAGCAGCTAGTTGCTGCTGCTGCTGCAGGCCCTGTTGCTCGTGTTGCTGCTGATGCTGCTGTGTCTGCGGAAGCATTCAAGACAGGAGCAGCAGCAGCAGCAGCGCTGCTGCACAGCTGCAGCAGCAGCCTGTGGCAGCTGCCGCCTGCAGAGTGGCTGCTGGACCTACGAGCGAGGCTTCAGCAGCAGCAGCAGCAGCAGCAGCAGCAGCAGCAGCAGCAGCAGCAGCAGCAGCAGCGCATGCAACAGCAAGCTCTTGCTGCTGCTGCACTTGCAGGTTGCTTCCCCTCCGCAGACACAGATGCCCTCTATGAGCTGGCCCGATCGTCGCAGCAGCAGCAGCAGCAGCAGCAGCAACAGCAGCAGCAGCAGCAGCAAGACATGATGTGGTTTATTCGGCGAGTCTACAACAAGGCATCGGGACTCTCGCAGCTGGTTCAGCTGGCTGCTGCTGCTGCATCTCCTGCTCCTGCTGCTGCTGCTGCTGCTGCTCCTTCACGTGAGCAGCAGCAGCAGCCGGTGCAGCCCTTAGAAGANCTCCTGCTGCTGCTGCTGCTGCTGCTCCTTCACGTGAGCAGCAGCAGCAGCCGGTGCAGCCCTTAGAAGAAGTGTTTGCTGCTGCGGTGGAGGCGGCTCGGCGCAGCGCAGCAGCAGCAGCTGCTGCTGCTGCTGCAGCAGCAACGAGTGGACCATTGGTCCTCCCCTGCTCTGTCTGCTGCATGCTATCAACCCCCTCAGTGCCGTTGTGGGGTACCCCAGCACTGCCTCCTGTGCTAGCTGCTGCTGCAGCAACTCTGCAGCAGCAGCAGCAGCAGCAGCAGCAGCAGCAGCAAGAACAGCAGCGCAGAGAGCAGCAACGCGCGGGGCTTGTGGAGGGCGTAGGGTGTATATCGAGCCCGCAGCAGCATCTGCATGAACAGCAGCAACAGCAACAGCAGCAGCAGCAGCAACAGGAGCAGCAAGAGCAGCAGCAGCTGCTGCTGCTGCGTAGGCGGCGGCAGCTGCCCCCTGCTGCTGAGGACCCCAGGAGGGTGAGGAGACGGCTGTGCTGCGAGGCAACGAAGCTAGCAGCAGAATGCATGCGAGCAGCAGCAGAAGAGACACGGTGCATGCGTTTGCTGCTGCAGCAGCTGCAGGTGTAGATATAGTTTTGTTGTTTGTTTTAGTTTTTTTTATTTTCTCTTTTGTATATACACTGCGGTGTATAGACAGCTCACAAACGTTAATTTCTTT